ACTAGTCTAGCTCACCTCTGTGTTAGGGCTATACTTTAGCAATGCTTTGGTAAAAATACACTAAACCTGTCTGAAGCCCTACTTGCGAARCTGTAAAAGCATCTGCTAATGTGGTTCAATCTTTCTTGTGTCTGTTTTTCACAAATTGTAATTTGAGTGGCTTAAAAACAATGCCTATTGAACTCGTTCTTCACAATATTCATGCAAAATAAAATGAACTTTGTCAGGGAATAAAATGATCAAATAAAATGTTCTGACTTTTGATTACAGCAAATTATGGCTAAAGAAAACTGCATTAAAGGATACATGAGACAGCTGTTAAATTAGATTATGTAACAAACTTTTGTAACTAAACAAAGAGAACCAATTTAAAAGCTCGGCTAAATCTGTTGCATTAAAATTTAAGCTACAACAGCTTTGATTTAGTCTTTAATCACARCTCCAAAAGTTAACAACATCAGACTAGAGAAAAAAACAAACAAAAGTTTTCTAGCATACAGTTTGGTCCATAACTAGTTATACACTGACACACAGTTTGTTTGTTTTAACTGTTTCCTGAAACATATCAAAGTAATWGTWATAYAATGGACATGAAATCCAGAYGTTCAGCTTTCATTTGAGGGTTTCCACATTAAAACTAATGAAGGGTTTAGGAGTTCAGCTTCTTAATGTGTCCACTCAGATTTTAAAGGGACCAAAAGTAATTGGACAATTGACTTAAGGCTATTTCATGGGCAGTTCCTTTGTTATGTCATTCACAATGAAGCAAATAAAAAGCCTGGAGTTGATTTGAGGTGTGGTGCTTGCATTTGGTAGATTTTGCTCTGAAGAAAACATGCGGTCAAATAAGCTCTCCATGCAGGTGAAACAAGCCATCCTTATGCTATGAAAACAGAATAAATTAATAAATAATTGTGAAATTGCTACAATATTAGGAGCTGCAACATCTACAGTTTAGTACGTTCTGAGCAAGGAAAAAAAAAACAATGCAAAAAGACCTGGACACCTACAGAAGACAACAGGGGTGGATGATGGCAGAATAATTTTCATGGTGAAGAGAAACCCCTTCACAAGTGAACCAAGTGAACAACACTCTCCAGGAGGTAGAAGTATCAATATCCAAATCTACCATAAAGAGAAGACTGCATGTAAGTAAATACTGAGGGTTCACTGCATGGTGCCACTCATAAGCCTCAAGAATAAAAAGGCTAAATTGGACTTCGATTAAAAAACAAAATTCAAATAAATAAATTAAAAAAACAACATCTAAATATACCAGCACAGTTCTGGAAGAACATTCTTTGGACAGATGAAACCAAGATCAACCTCTACCAGAATGATGGAAAGACAAAATTATGGCGAAGGTGTGGCACAGCTCATGATCCAAAGCATACCACATCATCTGTAAAACATGGCAGACACAATGTGATGGCTTGGGTATGCATGGCTGCCAGTGACACTGGGTCACTAGTGTTTATTGATGATGTGACACAGGACAGAAGCAGCCGAATGAATTCTGAGGTATTCAGAGCCATACTGTGTGCTCAGATCAGCCAAATGTAACCAAACTGATTGGTCGTAGTTTCATTCTACAGATGGACAATGACCCAAAACATAAAGCCAAAGCAAACCAGGAGTTTATTAAAGCAAAGAAGTGGAATATTCTTCAATCACCAAGTCAGTCACCTGGTCTCAACCCAATTGAGCAGCATTTCTCTTGTTAAAGACTAAACTTCAGACAGAAAGGCCCACAAACAAACAGCAACTAAAAWCCACTGTAAAGGCCTGACAGAGCATTAAAAAGGAGGAAGCATTTGGTGATGTCCACGAGTTCAAGACAAGGCAGTCATTGCTAATAAAGGGTTTTTTAAGGTCTAGAAATTAACATATTTGCAAATTTTTAATTTGTCCAATTACTTTTGAGCCTCTAAAATGAAGGGATTGTTTTTAAAAATGCTTTAGTTCTTCACATTACTATGCAATTGTTTAGTTCAACCCATTGAATTAAAGCTGAGAGTCTGAGCTTCATCTGCATCTGAATTGTTTTGTTCAAAATGCATTGTGGTAATGTCTAGAACCAAAATTAGGAAAATTTTGTCTCTTTCCAAATAGATACGAACCTAACCGTATGTATAAAAGTGAGTTGTGGTTCTTTTAAATACTACATAAAGTATATCCAGTTTGCGATAAAGCAGAGTAACCTTTGGCCCACCAACGTTAACCTGAWGTCAAAAACCTTTGAGCTGCTGAAAGTTCCACATCTTTGTTGACAGAATGAGAATTGCACTGTCATTGGATGGCACCAATACCACACCCACGCTTTCTGTCCCTGGCACTCCATGAAAATCAGGTTCCATGTGAATAATCATAAATTTCATGGTAATGCTTTTGCCTGTTGACTTGTAGATAACTTTAAAGAAAAAAAAAGGAAGAAKAAAAGTTACCCAAAGTTGTGGACTGTATAGTTCTTCAGAGTAACGCCACTGTGTGCCGAGGAGAAGAAATGGCAGATTCCCATTTTGGCCTTGTATGGGTACTCCGACTGAGTCACCAACTTCACTTTGGTCTAGATAAAAATAGCAAATTGTAAGTGTGTTATTGGAAACTAGCATAGATGTCTATTTTTTTAAATACATATTATCTATCGATTTTCTTTACCCRCTTTATTTCTTTCCAGATTGCGAGGGAGATGGTGCCTATTTCCAGCAATCATTGTGCAATAAATGAGGTGTATGTATATTCGGTAATACTGGGAATTATTGTTTAGCTTGCTATAAAAACACAAATAGCTACTCCACTAACAGAGCTTTCCAAAACATTTTTTTAATCCATATTAGAGATTCGGAGCTCACTTTTGGTCCAGCTTTATCGCAAAACATTTTAGAAGTGTCTCTTACGAGACCTGCGAATCTGTTCTGTCCAAATATCAACACACCTGTTCCAACCAAGACAGAGCCTGAGAGGGGGAGCCTCCATCGCAGCCCTCGTTGTTGTAGGAGCAGTCCACAGCCTGCTGCACACTGAGCTGCTCCAGCTGTGAGCCTCCGATAGCACAGGCAGACTGGATGGCACCGACCACACTAAAAGCCCAGCAACTCCCACACTGCAAATTGCAAGGATGAAACAAATACAGGGAAAAGAAGAGGGACTTAAATGTRTTTCCATACAAAAATTCTAATCGTATCAATTTCTTAAAGACTTGTGCTAATAAATCATATGGAAATCAGTGTCAGGTATTTAACTTGAACCAGTTTGAGTAATTAAATTACTTCCAATTTGGATTTTTTTACATGAATTAAAGTGGCAAAGCATTTAAATGAAATCCACCATTACCTTTTAAAAACATTTTAATCAAACAGTTTCTATATTGCTTTGTACAGCATGAGTTGGTGAAAAGATGAACACTAAATGAGCTTTGGACAACTGCTTTCTGCTGCCATCTACTGTCACAAATGTCTCATGAATAAAATCTATGTAGGAAAAAAATGGATTTCTGCTTAAATTAATTCACTCCACTCACTGTCACCCAACACCCACGTGTGGGAGAAACACAAAACTGGCGCTGCTCAAGCTTCTCGGCAAAAACTAGTTCCAATATTTAGAAAACGCATTTTAAAACGTATAAAAACAGATTTGACAGCTAAAGATTTCTTTGCCTTCCTGAATCCAGCCCCTTTTCTTTGAATGAACATGACAAATACTATTATGTGGGACTTCATTTTTTTTTCTGTTCAATATTTGTACAGACAAATCTCATTCTCCAAATTAAAGATCAGTACATCGTGTTCACTTCCTCAGCGTAAAACCTCCTGAATGTGATGAACATCTTGAGCTCTGTGTAAAACAGATTTTTTATTTTTTTTTTTTATTAAAATAGTTCCATGACTTAAATCAATATAGAAACTAAATTCCGTCATGATTGCCTGGACTGGAGACAAGTATGTGCTGAGCGTACAAAACATTAAAGCCATCTTGCAAGCTTTGAAACGCTATAAATGAGAAATCGGGAAAAGGAAATTTTTAATCTAAAAAAAGAAAATTATCTGTTGTAATTGATAGTTTGTGTCAGTGTTTGTGCAGTTAATCGTTTGCCTAAAACAATAAGTTGCTACGAGACGTTCCAACGATGAGAGATCCGGCTCGGCAAAGCAGAGGTAGGTGAGTGCGGTCACTCTGGCCGTTTATGCCCCTTTTCCACTAGTGCCACTTAATGTAGTGTCGGTACGGTTTGGTACGGTTCCAAGCCATTTCCATTAGGCCAGATCCATGGAACCGGCACTTTTTTTTAGTACCTACTTCATTGTGGTTCCAACACGCCCCAGCTGACACCAAAATGCGACGTCAGAACACTGTTCATCACTGATTGGCTAAATTTTTTGCAAACAGGGCTGCCACAAACGATTATTTTAATAATCAATTAATCACCAATTATTTATTCGATTAGTCGACTAATCGGATCAT